GTCTGGGCAGGAGTGGGAGGAATCAACTTCCTCCTCCCCAGAATTCTCCTGCTCTCCTTGCATCATTTCCACTTCCTGTCTGTTTTTCCTGCCTATACCTCCTCCCTGGCCAATCAGCATTTATTTAAAACATGAGTGACAAAATACAGATAATTCTCCCACACCACAACCCAATGTCATTGGCAAACTCCTTGAGAAGCCTGTTGCAGGTTCCCAAACCAAAAGTGGTCCAATCATTCCAGGTCATCATGGAGGACATTTTTCACCAGGAAAATTAAGAAATCCAGAACTTTCTGTAAAAAGTCATACTGTTCTCGGTGATGGCATAAACATGGAAGATATATCAAAAATTCTGAGAGAAAATAGGAAACATATATTCTGGAAGACTTCTATAAATGATCAAAGATCAAAGCTAAGAGTGTGCATAAATTATATTGTAATTGTTGGTTTGATAGATACATGTGTGTATGAGAGTATCATTACTCCAGAAATTTGGCAATCTAAATTGGCCTCTTTGCTACATCCATGGCTGTCACGCTATTATTTATAGGTAATTTACATTGTTACAGATTCTTGTATATTGATGAAACTTAAATTATACTGAGTATGTTCTTATTTTCATCAACAATATTGGTATATCTAGGCAAAGTTATTTAGTCATATTGTATGCATGCTTCCTATCATTGCTTAAAACATTTTTGTATATTGATCAATTTTTAGGATATACTTATCATATTGCAATGTACATTTCTACCTCTGATCAAGATACTTATAATTTTATACATTTTGAGGTCATTGTCCTCATTTGTTGCACAGTTATTTATTGTATAATATTCTATTATGAAGTCTTAGCCTTAAAGTTATATAAATATAATAATTATAGATCAATAATCATCTATGTTTGTCATACTTATAGTTAGGCTATGCTGGTTTTTTTAGATACATAAAGATTGTATTCTGCATAAATAGGTAATCTTCAACCGCTTCAAAGAGCTGTCAAACATGGCATTTTCATAACTTAGGGTTCTGTTGAAGTGAGACACGACTGCTCCTGGCAGTACTGATCTATTCCCGAGAGAATGTTGAGGACCCAAAACACTCCACTTGGAGCTTTTTTTTTTTCTGTCAAAACTTGTCTTTGGGCAAGGAACTGCCCATGAATTGACTACTGAAAAAATGTACAATGTCCAGACAGGACAAGCAGGGTACAAGAAAAAAGAGTGTCAAATCTTGCCAAGAGAGGATAAGACAGTTTTGAAAATTTTCTTGCCTTTGAAAATTGTCTGTCCGTTATTCTATTCCTTAGCCAAAGTTGCTTGCTCCAACATTGAAAAGGAGAATTTAGGTGATTGCCCAGGTAGCCAGTTGTCTCTGTCATTTGTTGTACATTTTGGAAGTTGTTTTTACACTTTATGCTTACTCAAGTAATATTATTTCCCTTCCAGATCGCTGATGCTATTTGAAATGGGATTCTGCTCATGATAGCTTTCTAAGGTGGCTTTGTTTGTAGTATATAGAAAGGCTTTTAATTTTTGAAACTGATACTTTCCTTGTCAGGCTGCTGAAATTTTGACTCTACTTCATGTGTTTGGGTACAATTTTGGTATGTCTTAGGTTTAAGATCATGTCATCTGAAAATGGGGTTAATTTAGATTTATCTTTTCATAGGTACATGATTTTAATGTCCTTCAGTTTCTGTATCGCTCACTGTAATGCATCCAACTCGACATTATAAAGGAGTTGGGAGAGTGGGTACCCTGTCTTCTTCAAGATTTTAGTAGGCTTCCTTGCTGGTTTTCTATATATGGGCTGTGTATTGACAGGATGCTGTCAGAGACAACTTTTAATATTATGAAGCATATTTCCTCCATTCCCACTATTTTTTAAATTTAATTTTGAAAGTATGAGGCATTCTATCAAAGGTTTTTTCTTGAAATAATGAATTAATGGTGACATTATTGCCTTAATTATATAGTATGATTAGTCATATTTATAGAATTCTGTGTGTTGAACCCAGCCTGTACCTCTGGAATAAAGTCACCTTAATTATTGTGGATGATATGCTTGATATGAATATGTATTTATTTTTCTAGTACTTTATAAAGGTTTTCTGACTTTTTTTGTCACCAGTTACATTTTACTCTATGTGCATGTATATATGCACACATTAATATATGCATGTGTGTGTGCTGATTGGGATTAAATTAATACCGGCTATATATAGCATGTTTGGGAGTGATCCTTTACATTCTATGTTTTAAAAAAGGTCAACAGAGTTTCGCTGTAATTCTTCTTTGAAGGACTTGTGGTAAGACAGATGTTAGGATCCTCCCCACTGATTTTGATCATGGCTGAATCAGTTTTCACTTCCACCAATCAGGGCCAAGTGCAGCCATTTCCCCCACTGATTTTGATCATGACAATCTGTTTTCACTCCTACCAACCAGGACCTAGTACAGCCCTTTCTCTGCATCATAGACAAAATGTCTGAGTCGTTTCAATTTTATTTTCCTGATGCCTAAAGACATTGAACACTTGGAAGTGTGTCTCAGAAATTTATGTTTCACTTTCTGAGAACATGATTTTTAGTTTTATAATACATGTTTTGATATGGAGTCATGTGTTGTCTTGGTGTTCATTTTGCTGAGGAGATAGAAAAATGAAGATTCCTGCATTGTTAACGTGCAAAACTGACACTTTTGGGAGGCTTCAGGCTGTTGTAAGAGCATATCTGCAGAAACAATGCATTCTGCAACTTGATGAAGGAAGATTATTCCTGGTCACCATGAGAGTACTACCAACTAAGATCAGTATTTAAATCATCCCTAGTAGTCATGATTAAGAAATTACCATTCAGAATACATATAGAAATTACAATAGTTGATGCAAAGAACAATGATAGTGGAATGTTTATGGAACCAAGGATGATTTACATTCTACAGCTCAGGGTGTAATTTCAACTAATCACCTCTGAGTTACCTCTCAGATTGGGCACACTTTACCCGTGTTATCATGATGTGAATGGTGAGCTTTAGAGCTTCCATGCCTTTTGAAGTCTTGGCAGCTAAGAAAGCAACTTCTGATAGGAAAAGACATAGCCATATTCCCTTTACCTCTAAAATAAGACTTATAGGTAATAAGTAATTGAAGAATAAGGGGACAGCACTGGATACAAATGCATATTAGAAACTCTAAATGAACATAATTGGGTATAAATTTCTGTGTCAACCACTTCTTTCTTCATGCATACACATATTTACACATATATTGAAATGAATTTGTATATTCATGAAGAAGTTGGAGAAATTTCAAGAAGAGGACACAGGGATATCAGTAATTAGTAGGAGAACAAAGGTGATATGATGTAAATGTACACTGAATATACCAAATTATCAAAGACATTGGTCAATTATTTTTTTCTAATGTAACGTCGTTTTGCAAGGCACACAATGAAAGTTTAAATAATGGGATTTTTCACAGAAGAATTGTCATTGTTTCTTATTCATATCTCTTGTTTATGAATATTGAATGGACTTTGCTTTCTTAATATCTTCAGACTTCATTAAAATGTATGTATCAGCATCATCTAATATTTTTGTTTTTCCTAATTCCAAGTCCTAAAACAAGATTGTCTCTGCCTTTTCTAATTTGATAGTTAACTACATCCTAAGGAATTGTTGTAATTCAAAGAAAAAATTGTAACCAGCACATGCATATTTGTAGGGCATGGTATCTATGGAATATCATTCTTATGAATTTATTCTTCAAAAGAAACTGACTCATATGTACACTATTAAAGCATATCCTGATTCATTTGCTTACTGAAGTCACTTAACAAAAGATAATCTCCTCAGATAGACTTTGGGAAACATATTCCATCCTCTCTTTTAAATAATGTGTAACATGGAGGCAGACCCAAAGACTTTGCTCTGTGAAATCTTTTAGAATGTTCAACCGCAAATCATAATTTTAAGCTGAAAGTAAATATGAAGCACAACATTCTTCAGTGTTCTTACTCATGGATCTCCAGTAATTATCACATTTCTATTTATTAAGATAAGATTAAGTAATATTGATATCATTTGTTACACCAGAGTGGTTATTTTATTAGTTTGATGAAAATTTATGTGCTTTTTGAATGAGATCCTTTTCACAACATCTTTATTGCTTCTTGAAAAACTTTATTTCATCATTCAAAAATATGAAGACCTTATAAATCATAAGAAGGGACTAGAAAGACAAATCAGGAATTAGGTATATGGTGTTCTGACTTCACAGGAGAGAAGACAATTCATTTAAAGAAATGGTGATTTTTATATGACATTGATTCCATGGTCAAGAGGATATGATGTATAATTCTATTCCTCCTGTCATCTGTGCAGATATGAAAACAAAAATTAAAACATGTTTGAAGAGACAGGAAAGATTTCATCATTGAGAGTTCATGAATGCAAAAATAAATATAACAGTATAATGAGTGTACAGAAACGATGTACACAAACAGTTCCTTTCTTAGAAATCACCAATACCTTATACTTTTGATTCTATAGAATCACTGTCAACAGAAAAAAATGACATTATGTGTCCCTACATGAAAATTTATATTGAGAGGTTTCAAGATATATACTAAAAATATTAACATCATTTCATCATATCTGTTGGCAAATAATACCCCACAATCTTAAGTAAAGTAAGATTTTTACAAATAACAAGGCACACTCTGTTGATGGAGCATTCTTCAATATAAGCATATTACCAATTGTGAATTAGATAAAATTCTTCATATTTTTATAAATAAAAATATTTTATCTGTCATTTCTATCTCTGTAATATTTCTCTTTTAAAAGACATATGATATGCAGTCTTAATTTTGCTAATTTTCAGTTCACTTTTTCCTTGGTGTCATCCTTGTCTCTAATTTTTGCATAATAATCACAAATCCATTCAAATATCAAGTTGGTTAGGCATGGTCTCTGTTTCTACTTACCTACAGAAAGTCATTATTCAGGACAAGTATCTGCAAAAGAATATGAACAGGGTAAGGATTGACATAAATGTTTTCATTTCTGTCAATATGATAATAGATTCCCAAGGATTATATCTGGAAATAGAAGCTGAAAGATTGCATATGACTCTATATAATCTGAATCAGGGATTTTACTGAGTAGATATATAGGTAGATCGATTGATAGATAGATAGATAGATAGAGAGAGAGATAGATAGAAAATAGACAGTTAGATTCATTATATATACATACATGAATATATAGAGAGAGATAGAGAGAGATAGGTAGAGGATAGACAGATTCATTATATATATTCTATATAAATTCATTATATACACATATATTATATATACATATATTATATGTATACACAATGAATATATATATATATATAGAGAGAGAGAGAGAGAGAGAAATTCCTTGGCCAAAATAATATTCATTATTCATTGTGGTTACCTGTAGCCAGAACTTCTCTAATGTTTTCTGTTGGAATGTTCCGTTCCTTAGCAAATTCCTCAAGTTTTTCATATTGTTCAGGAGTCAAAGTTTTACTTTTTCCTACAGTGTATGAAAGACAATGTCAAAGACATGTTCGAGAAATATGGAGAAATATATGTTGCTTGTTTAGTATCCCTGCATCATATGCAATACAAAGTCCCAACTGCTTCAAATTGATTTGTTCTGGGTGGATCAATACAGACAGTAGGATTTTCTCCAAATTCCATTTTCAGTGTTTCATGATGTATGCAAAAATCAAGCAACTTCTCTAAGGAATTCTCACATCTCAATCCTATGTATTTTCAAAAATATAACACTAAAGAATCATGAATATCTACCAATGAAACCTTCACATTTCTCCTGAGTCTACACTCTAGAGTTCATGATTTCTTTAGTACACACTTGGTCAAATGACACTCAAAATGGTTTAAATTTCCGGACAAATAATATTTGGATCCTTCTTTCTAGTAAGGAAACATGAACATACACACTTCCAGTAGCATTCACAATCACCAAGAGTCTTCAATGACCATGCTACTCAAATTACAATATAATGTAAAAGTTGGTCCACACAACAATCATATTGTTATTTAGTGGAGAGGTGTTTGGAAACACCGTGATACTGTACTTGGAGTGTGAATCTGACTTAATCTCTATTTTCAGGGTGATACTTCTCTTACTACATCAGAAAACCCACTACCATTCTTACCAACAACAAAAATCAGGTTAGTTGTCTGGCCAGTTCTATCCACATTCTTACTGGTAAAGACTATGTTCTCTGCTGTTGCATGCACAGGTTCAAATATATTGTCACCTTCAACTGTAATAACAGAAATATTTCAATCTCAGTGTCACTCATTTTCTATTTTGTTTGATGTCACCTGTTGACTAAACATTAATATTGATCCCGACTCTAGCAGTCATCACTTATTCACTATCAAATGACACATGAGGGCAAAGGTATTCTTGTAGTCATTCATTTTGCATATCTAATCATAATGCAGTGACCAATTATTTCCACTCTTAAAACCTGATAGGGAATCCTAGGTTCATACACGTTCCCTTTTCTCTGAATTCCTTGTGTCAAGACCTGTGGGATCACTCTGTTGGGTAATCCTTCCCCTTTCAACCAGATTCAAAAGGACGCTTGTCAATTTTCTGAAACTGTAAAACTTTGGTGTCATACAAGAGTAATACTTGGTGGGAGAATTGATACATATGCCAAAAAGGACATACTAATTAGAAATATGCACAAAAGTTTTATTCTTATAAGATTATGTGTAGAAAAGATGTAAAAATCAACATTTTAAGTTTACCAGACATTCATATTGTGTGTGTGTGTCTGCCTCTCTGTATGTGAGAGTTTTTCTGTTTGCATTCTGTGTGTGTGGGGGGGGTAGAGGGGTGTGTGTGTGTGTGTGTGTGTGTGTGTGTGTGTGTGTGACGTTTCCTCTTAAAGACATTGATTAATGATAAAAGTGGTTCATGGGAAAATAAAAGTAATTCAGGATCTAGTAAATTTTGATTACTTGACTACTCTATAATGTCATATAAACTTAGGAAAATAATAAACTTGGCAGAAGAATGTACTCTCCCTTCATTAAAGATCACACCAAAGATCATCCTATGCATAAATTAGTTGAATATTTTTGCTATTATTTTAGCAATTTTACAGAATTCAAGAAGTCAGTCTGAAATTTTTAAACAGATTTCTCTAACTGCTTTTCGACATTGAACTTTATCATCCAATCATCTAAATGTTATGATCGCTACAAAGCAGGAGAATAGGAAACTTTAAAATAGGACCATTAGTTTAAAGTTTCCATGAATCCAGGATGACAGTTCAGACCTGTAATATAAGTGCTTGTCCGCCTGAGGCAAGAAGTTTGCAACGATGTTTGAGGTCACTGAGACCTACCAGTGAGTGTCAGACCTGTCCGGTCACAAACAGAGATATTGTATGAAAGCAGCATTATTTGTCATAGCCAGAACATGGAAACAACCTCATTACCCCTTGTCAGAAGAATGGATAAGAAAAATACAGTGCATTTATACAATGGAATACTACACAGCAGGGAAAATGACATCTTGAAATTTGCAAGCAAATGAATAGATCTAGAAAGCATCATATTGAGTGAGGTAACCCAGGCCCAGAAAAAGAAATATCATATATACTCAATCATAAGTGGTTTTTAGACATAAAGCAAAGAAAAACTACCCTAAAATTCATAATCCCAGAGAAGCTAGACAACAAATAGGACCCTAAGAGAGACATAAATAGATCTAATCTACATGAGAAGTAGAAAAGGACAAGATCTCCTGAGTAAATTGGGAGCATGAAAAGCACGGGAGAGTAGAAGGGGATGGGAGAGGAAGGGAGGGGAGGAGAGATAAATATATAGCCTAATAATAACAATTTTAACAAAAGAGAAGACACTGAATATTATATAGAAATAAATTTTCATGCAGAAACTATTTGGAGACCTTTTGTTAGCATTACTACGCACATCTTCAGGTTCAGTGTTCTTTTACATGTAAACTTCAGGTGACCTACATTGTACTCTGACATTGTAGAATATCTCAGTTGGTTGGAAGAACTGATGAATTTCCAAGTAACTAATATTGTTCTGGGTTCATGTACCTATGAGTGGCTTAAGTGTCAGCATGAATGTGCTCACTCAAAATGCTTCTGTTTGTAGAGGAAGCTCCCAGATCCCATACTTACACTGGGTTCTGTATTTGCCATCTTCTTGCCTATATCCAATGACTTTGGTCTCTGAACATTGGCCATTGGCACTAAAAATCAAACAGAGGATCCCTGGTTTATACTTTATAACCTTTAATTCATATTAAAGATCTTTAAGTATTATAATGAACTTGTTGATGTAATAAAATTTATGACCAGGGTACAGAGCTGGAACAGAAGTACCTATGCTTACCTACTTCTCTTAATTCTTGTTTAGAAAATATCATCCTGTTTGTAATCATACACATGATTTCCTTTATTTGTGGCAATATTTCCAAGAATTGTGAGGAATCTGAAGGCTTCTTATCCAAATTTCACTATTCACTGAGTATGATTTTCAATATCTTTTTTTTTAAGATTTTATTTATTATGTACACTGTTCTGTCTCCATGTATGCCTGCATGCCAGAAGAGGGCACAAGATTTTATTGTAGATGGCTGTGAGCCACCATGTGGTTGCTGGGACTTGAACTCGGGACCTCTGGAAGAGCAGTCAGCGTTCTTAACCTCTGAGCCATCTCTCCAGCTCCAATTTTCAATATCTTAATTATCATGTTGTAGTCCAATGATAACATGTACACAGGTTTATATGCATGTGTTTTAAGTGATTTAATTTATACCCTAAAACTTACATTCATAGCTAGAAGAAAGAAATGGTTCTAAGCCTTATAAGTTCTTATGCTGCTTTGCACCCTTTCAATGAACTTACTCATCTAAATGTCACAGAGTGTCTTTGAAACTAGAGCATCAAAGAAAGGGATTTGCAAACCAGATTTGTCTAACCTGTTTGTGAAATACTTTTTTTTGATGTCATTGATTGAATAATATAATATATATGACTATGAGCCAAATACTCACACTTACCTTTCAACTTACTAGAAATGAGATTCTTAGAGTCTCTTGCATCTAATATTAGAGCAAAAAATTCAACCACAGGCCTCCAACAAAAAGGATTTCTAAGGAAACACTCAGGGTATTGGAGACTCTATCTAACGTCCATGAAATACCCAGAGCTAACCCATCCTGGAATAAAATAATTACATTGCTTAAGATAAGGCCTTCAATTTCATGACCAGAAAAAGAACATTTACCATTATGTTTGACAGCATAAATGCTGAGAAACGGAACTATTCTGCTCAGTTTACATAGTTGACAATTTGCTTACTTGACATAAAATGTGACTCCCATTTTATTACATGCTTCACTACAAGTAAGTTCACGAACGTAGATTCTCAGAGGTCCTTCTTTCTCTATCTTGTCAACTTTGTCAGCAGCAATGGCAATGGTAACCCACTTTCCTTCAAGCTGAAAAAACAACAAAGGCCATGAGAATGCGAGTTGGTACTCACATCTCCTATCCCAATCTTTGAAAATACATAAGCTAACTAGAAATATAAAATGAGAAATATTTTATCTATTAGTTAAAAATTTTGCTTCTAGAGATGTAGAATAACACATGGTAATACGATGACTCAATTTACATAGCATTTGGTACCTGTGACCTTTCGGAACTACTCATGTGCTGGCCTCTTAAGCTCTGAAATTCAACCCATTGTACCCTTCTTTCAATTGTTTCATCTTAGAACAATCTAATTGAAAGGTTGCACGTGTGTGAAAGCCAGAAAGGTTATTTCATGAATATGAACTTGCATGGACAAACCGATTGAAACCTCACATCCACAGCAATATGCTGTTGAAGAACATCAAACCTATGCACAGACCAAATGAATTTACCTCAGCATGAGCATGAGCCAGACCAAATGCCAAAGCCAGCAACAGAAATTTTACCATGGTGGTGCCTGCCTTTGCTCTTCTGTAGAAGCTCAAAATAAGATGTTGGTTATGAAGGAACTGAACTGACAAAGCTTTTTATACAGTTAGTTAGAGGGAGTTTCATGGAATCAACCAATGGTTCTGTGCCACAACAACCTGCATCTGTTCAGTATTTCCTCTTTGGCTCTGATGAATGGCATATTATCTCATATCCCTAAACTAATAAGATTAGGCTAAAGGTAGGGTTCTGTTGGGATGACGAATTGAGTGTTCTTGTCAGAAAGAAAGAACTATCATTGTGAGAACATTAAAGCAATTGTTTTGACTCCACAACTATACTGGTGGGTAAATGTCAATATCCATATGCGCATGCTGTAAATGGTTCATCTAATCAAAGTGACATGCCTTTTAAAATACATTCTGAATTTAAGCATAATACTATGCAGTTAAATGAATTTAAAACTGTGGCCTGAGAAATATGAGTCAAAGCAACCACATTCTTAGAAGATAAGATGGTAAAACTAAGGAACAGATTTTCTATATATCCTGTGCTACCTTTAAGTCTTTTACTATATTGACTACTTTATTCTTCCAGCACACGAAATTCAAAGGCTATGGTACAGAACTTCAAGAGATATCACCAAAACATAACTGTAAAAATATAGAACATAAATGGTACTAGATGTCCACTGGGAATAAATACAGGTATCGTTAATAAAAAGAGCCAAATCATTATTTTTCAGCTCTGTAATACTCCACTGTGTAAATGTACCACATATTCTTTACCCATTCTTTAGTCAAAGGGCATTTAGGCTGTGTCCAGTTTTTTACTATAACAAAAATGCTGCTATGAACATAGCTGAGCACATATCCTTGTATATAATTAAAATGCTATTGTTGAGTCTTGAGGTAAGCTGTTTCCTAATTTTCTGAGAAATAACCATAGTGATATCGAAAGAGGCTGTAGTAGTTTAAACTCACACCAATAATGGAAGAATGTTCCCTTTACCCCACATCCTCTCCAGCATAAGTTGTCATAATTTTTTTTGGCAATTGTTACAGGTGTAAGATGGAATCTCAGAGTCATTTTAATTTGCATTTCTCTGATGGCTAAGTATGTTGAGTACTTCCTAAGTGTCTCTCCACCATTTTAGATTCCTCTGCTGAGAATTCTGTTTAAGTCTGTACTCCATTTTTAAATTGGATTATTTGTTGTTTTGATGACCAATTATTTCTTGAGTTCTTTGTGTATATTTGAGGACAGCCCTCTGTTCTATGTGGGGTTGGTGACAACCTTTTCCTATTTTTAGGCTGCCATTTTGTCTTGTTAACCATGTCCTTTGCTTTAAAGAAGCTTCTCAGATTCAGGAGGTCCCATTTATTAATTTTTTCTCAATGTCTGTGATGCTGGGGTTACATTTAGGAAGTAGTCTCCTGTGCCAATGTGTTCAAGTGTACTTCCCACATTCACCTCTATGAGATTCAGTATGGTTAGTTTTTTGATGAAGTCTTTGTTCCATTTGTACTTGATTTTGTGCATGGCTGTAGGAGCGGGGCCCAAGTGGCTTATACCCAAAATAATCACATAGAAACTGTGTTGTTTAAAACACTGCTTGGCACATTAGCTCTAGCTTCTTATTGGTTAACTCTTATATTAACTTAACCCATTTCTAGTACTCTGAGTATCCCCACTTGGCAGAGGCTTACTGGGTGAAATTCCCAGCATCTGTCTCTGGTGGCTTCATGGCATTCCTCTGACTCTGCCTTCTTCCTTCCAGAATTCAGTTCTGAATTCGTGCTGGGAATTTGGTTGAAATTCCCAATGAATCTGTCAAATGCTTTAGGTACGATTGCCATTTTTACTATGTTAATTCTATCTACACATAAACATGGGAAATCTTTTCATTTTCTGATGTCGTCTTCAATTTCCTACTTCAGAGTTTTAAAGTTTTTTTCATGCAGGCCTTCCACTTGTTTGGTTATAGTTACTCCAAGATATTTTATGTTATTTGTAGCTATTTGAATGGTGACATTTTTTCTGAATTCTTTCTCAGTCCAGTTATCTTCTGTGTAAATTAGGACTACTGATTTTTTTTTTTACTTAATCTTGTATCCTGCTACATTGCTGAAGGTATTTATGATTTGTTGAAGGTCCTTGGTAGAATTTTTGGGTCCTTTATGTAAACTATTATATCATCAGTAAATAGTGAGAGCTTGACCACTGCTTTTTGGATTTGTATCCTCTTGATCTTTTGTTGTCTTATTTCTCTAGTTAGAACCTCAATTACTATATTGAATAGATATGGCGAAAGAAGACAACTTTGTCTTGTTTCTGATTTCAGTGGGATCACTTTGAGTTTCTCTCTATTTAGTTTGATGTTGGTTGTTGTACTGATGTTTATTATTTTTTGTTATGTTTAGGTATATTCTTTGTCTCCTTGTTCTCTCTAAGACATTGTTCATGAAGGGATGTTGGATTTTGTTGATGGCTTTTTCAGTATCTAATGAGATGATCATTTTTTTTTTTGTGTGTGCAGTTTGTTATCTGGTGGATTATATTGACAGATTTTCTTACGTTGAACCATCCCTGCTTTTCTGGGATGAAGCATACTTGGTCATGGTGAATAATTTTTCTGATGTGTTCTTTGTCTTGTTTTGCCAGTATTTTATTGAGTATTTTTGCATCAATGTTCATGAGTGAGACTGATCTGTAATTCTTTTTCCTATTAATATCCTGGTGTCATTTGGATATCAGAGTAATCATAGCCTTATAAAAGAGTTTGGCAATGGTCCCTCTGTTTTCATTGTGTGGAACAATTTAAGAGTCTTGGTATTAGTTCTTCTTTGAAAAACTTGTTGATATCTGCACTGAAACCATCTGACCTTGTGCTTTGTTTGGTTGGGAGAATTTGATGACTGTTTCTATTTCCTTAGCAATTATAGGTCTATTTACTTTGCTTGTCTGGTCTTGATTTAAGTTTGGTAAGTGATATTTATCCAAAAAAATGTCCATTATCTTTATGTTTTCCAATTTTGGGCAGTACATGTTTTCGAAGTCTGACCTGATGATTCTCTGGATTTCCTCCATGTCTGTTGTTATGTCCCCATTTTTCTTTCAGATTTTATTAATTTGCATATTCTCTCTCTACCTTTTAAATAGTTTGGATAAAGGTTTGTCTATTTTGTTGATTTTCTCTTAGAACCAATACTTTGTCTCGTTGATTCTTTGTATTGTTTTCTTTGTTTCTATTTTCTGATTTCAACTCTCAATTTGATTATTTCCTGCCAAATAGTCCTCCTGTGGTAGTTTGCTTCTTTTTGTTCTAGAGTTTTCAGGTGTCCTGTTAACTCACTTCTGTGAGGTTTTTCCTGCTTCTTCATGTAGGCATTTTGTGTTATGAATTTTCCACATAACACTGCTTTCATTGTGTCCCATAAATTTGAGTATGTTGTTTGGTGACTTTCTTTGAATTTTAGGAAGTAATTAATTTCTTCCTTTATTTCTTCCTTGACCCATTGACGATTCAGATGAGCATTGTTTAATTTCCATGTGTTTGTAGGCTTTTTGAATCTAGTGTTGCTGTTGAATTCTAATTTTAAGTCATGGTCATCTGATATGCTACATGGGCTTATTCCAATATTTTTGTATCACTTGAGGTTTATTTTGTTACCTAGTATGTGGTCAGTTTTTGAGAAGGTTTCTTGAGTTTCTGAGAAGAAGGTATATTATTTTATCTTTACATGGAATGTTCTATAGATATCTGCTAAGTCCATTTGAGTCATGGCATGTTTGTTCCCTTATTTCTCTGTCAATTTTCTGTCTCTCAGACGTGTTCAGTGGTGGAACAGGGTGTTAAACTCTCCCACTTTAGTGTGTTGGTTTTGTTTTGTGATTTAAGCCTTAGTACTGTTTCTTTTACATATGAGGGTATCCTCATATTTGGGGCATAGATGTTTAGTATTCAGATTCCCTCTTGATGGATTTTTTCCCCTGTGACTAATATGAAATCTTCTTCTTTGTCTCTTTTGGTTTATTTTAGTCTGAAGTCTATTTTTTTAGATATTAGAATAGCTACACCAGATTGTTCCTTAGTTGCATTTGATTGGAATTTTTTCTCAATCCTTTATTCTGAGGCAATATCTGTCTTTGAGGTTGAGGTAGGTTTCTTGTATGCTGCAGAAGAATGGATTGTCTTTTCATATCCAATCTGTTAAACTGCATATTTTAATATTTTAATAGGTGGGTTGAGTCCATGTATATTATGGGATATTAATGACCAGTGTTAGTTCCTGTGTTTTGTTTTTTGTTTTTTTCAGTTTTCATTGTTGGCGATGTTATTGCATGTGTTTTCCCTTCTTTGGGGTTTGTTTTCATGAAATCATCTATTGTCCGAGTTTTGTGGATATAGCTAACTTCTTTAGGTTGGAGTTTTCCTTCTAGTATTTTGTGTAATTCTGGGTTTGTGGCTAAGTAATGGTTTAATTTGGTTCTTTCATGGAATATCTTGTTTTGTCTGTCTGTGTTGATAAAAAGTTTTCCTGGACATAGTAGCCTTCTGGGCTGGCTAACATGGTCTCTTAATGTCTGTCTCTTAACTCTTGTCCCAGACATTCTGACTTTCATTGTTTTCATTGAGAAATTAGGTGACATTGTGACAGGTCTGCCTTCATATGTTACTTGACCTTTTCCCTTTGCAGCTATTAATATTCTTCCTTTATTCTGTATGCTTAGTGTTTTGATTATGATGTACAAAGAGATTCTATTTTATCTAGTCTTTGGTGTTCTGTATACTTTTTGTACCTACATAGGCATATCTTTCTTTGGGCTGGGAAAATTCTCTTCTATGATTTTGTTGAATATGTTTTCTGTGATTTTCAGCAGGACTTCTCCTTCTATCCCTATTATTTTTAAGTTTGGTCTTTTCGTGGTGTCTCATATTTGTTGGATATTTCATGTTAAGCTTTTGTTAGATTTAATGCTTACCTTGATGGATGAGTTTATTTCTTCTATTATACATTCAGGTCTATTTCCACAGATCTCCCTGTCTT